CCCCGCCGGCGTTCTTGCTGCTGCCCCTCTTCCCGCCCCCCGGCCTCTTCCCAGCCGGCCTGTCGCCCTTTCCCCCTTTCGCGTACCCTTCTGCATCCACCGAGGATCGCCATGGCCGCCACGCCGGGCATCCGCCCGCTGGACCCGACAAGTGCCCGGCGCCTGTGTGCCTCGCAGGTTGTCGTGGACCTCTCGGCCACCCTCAAGGAGCTCATCGAGAATGCCATCGATGCCGGGGCCACCAAGCTTGGTACGTGCTCTTCCTTCCCCGCGTGCGTGGGTCCCACTGGCGCCCCTGCCGCCAATCTAACTGCCGGCCCCAATGCCCCGCGTAGACATCACCCTGCGCGACCACGGCCTTACCTCAATCGAGGTGGCCGACGATGGCCACGGCCTTGATGAAACGTCTCTGCGAGACATCGGTGCGGCCCATCTTCCTCGCCCGCCCTCCGCCCTCCGCCCTCCGCCCTCCCAGCTCGCCAGCACAGTCACCGGTGGCACCTTGGCAGCGCCAGGTCGCCCTTCGTTTCGTGTCCACTGACGCCCGTGGCGCAGCCAAAAAATACTGGACCTCCAAGATCAGCTCCTTCGAGGATGTGGCCAATGTGCGTGTCCTGCGTTTCCCAATGCGCATGCGTACACCGGGCGGGCCATTGCTCCCTGCTCCCTGCTCCCTACTCTCTCTCTCTCTCTCTCTCTCTCTCTCTCTCTCTCTCTCTCTCCCCCGCTCCATCCTCGTGACTGACCTCCGGATCGCCCGCCTCGACGGCGGTGCAGGTGGCCAGCTTTGGCTTCCGCGGGGAGGCGCTCAATGCGCTGGCCTTCCTCGGCGAGCTGTCAATCACCTCGCGACAGCGGACCCCGGCGGCCGGTGCGGTGCCCGCCTTTTCGGCGGTCTACGACTCCCATGGCGAGGCCCAGTCGGTTGTCCCGTCCGGCCGAGATGTGCGTCCTCTTTTCGCCCCCCCCCCCCCCCCTCCCTTCCCAGCGCCCCAGTCCTGACAGCCGGGGATGACAGTTCGGCACGACGGTCACCGTGCGAAGCCTCTTCAAGAACCAGCCGGTCCGCCATCGGGAGGCCGTGCGCTGCCGGCTGCGGAATTACAACCGCGCGGTGGCCATGATCCGGGCCATGGCTTGCGTCAGCTGCCCGCAGCTGGCCGTCCGGCTGACGCACATCCTGACCACCTCGGGCCAGCGAGCCAAGACCGAGTTGATCTTCGCCACCAGCGGGGCGGGGCGCCGGGCGACGGCGGCCGCGGCGGCCGGCGGCCCGGCGCCCGACCTCCCCACTGCCACCGCCGACCGGGCCCAACTCCTGCGGAGCATCCACGCCGCCGTGACGGGGGTGTACGGCGGCCGCTTTGCCGACGCCCTGGAGCAATTCACCATCGACATCCCGAGCGACGGGCACACGTACGTCACCTCCTCCTCCGGGGTGCTGCCTCCGCCCCGCGGCTCTGACCACCATCCCACACGTCTGGGCGTTCCTCTCCGGCCGCTGTCCCCTTTCCCGCCCCCCCCCCCCCCCCGCTCCCCTTCCCCCCCCAGCATCACCGTCATCGGGCTGATCTCCACGCCGAATCCCCCGGCGGTGTCGGTGTCCGGCATGCTGGCCGCCGGCGGGGGCACTGTCTCCACCACCACGTCCCCCAGCGTCGACCCGCGGCAGCATATCTCCCTGAACCAGCGCCTGATTGACCTCTCGAGCATGACGCGCGCCGCCACCGAGGCCTACCGAACTGCCTCGATGACCTCGGCCGCCAATGCCTCCCGGGCCACGGCGGTCCCCTTCCTCGGGGCCATGCTGCTGATTGAGCCGGCCGCGCTTGGCCGCGAGGTGGACATCAATGTTTCGCCGGACAAGCGCACCGTGCTCCTCCGCCGCGAGGCGGTCATCGTATCGACCTTCAAGGTGTGTTGCCGGCCCTGGCCCGGGCTTGCCTGCCACCCGCCGCACCGCCTGCCAGTGCTGACACGTGTCTCCCTTTGCCCTGTTCGTGCGCCGTAGGAATACCTCGAGCAGGCGCTGTCGGCCTCGCGACGCACGTACACGGTCAATGAGCCGCTGCCGCTGTCGCAGTTCATGCAGGCGACCAATGCATCGTCAGCCATGCTCGAGCCCAAGACCGAGGCGGGTCTCCCTTTCAGGGGGTCTCCCACGCGCCCCAGCATTGCAACCACGCAAGCCTGGCTCACCGAGGCGGAGCCGCAGCCGAAGGCGGAGCCGCAGCAGCATCCAGCGGGGCAGCTGCTTGCCACGTATGACGAAGAGCGGGAGGCCCGCCTCTCGTCACATGCCAGCCACGAGGAGCCGATGGATGTCGAGGCCACAGTCCCGGCCCCTGGCCGGATGGGCTCGCCACCAGCGGAGATCATTCACCAGGAGACACATCTGGATGATGGCACCGTGTTGACTTTTGCCATGGCGCCGGCTCGGGCAGCGCCCCCGAGCGCCGCCCGAGCGCCCTTGGAGCCGATTGGCCGGGCGGGGCCTTCCACCGGTCGGGACGCCCGCCCGGAGCCCGAGGCCCGGGGTTCGCCCGAGGCCGCGGATCTGCCGGTGCCCGAGGCCGTCAGCTGGGTTCTATCTGCGCCGGTTCGGGAGCCGCCCCCAAGTGCCGGCTGTTGCCCGGACGACGATCCCGCCGGCGGGGAGTCCGAGTCGGCCCGGCGCCCGGTCCGTCCGGCCAGCCCGGGCCCGTCGGACCCCGGCTCGCATCCGAAGCGCCCACGCGTTGGGCCGGCCACCATGCCCTCCTCGGGGGAGGGGTCTGGGAGTATGTCGGAGCCGGAGTCGGAGCCGGAGCCACAGCAGCCGGTCGAGGCGCTGCTTGGCATTGGGCTCGGTGCGCCAGGCGGCCCACTCGGCCGGACGGCGAGCGTGACGACCCCCGGTTCTCCGGTCCCTTCCTCATGTACTTCCGACATGCCAAGCGTCACCTTGCCCGTGCAGTATGTCTCGCGACTCTCCTTCCCCGCCAATCCCTCCGCCGTGTTTTTTTTGTTGAACCCCCCCCCCCCCCCCCCCCCCCCCCGCCTCTGACCACCTGGCCCGCTCGTCTTACAGCACTCCTCCGAGTGGCAGCTCGACAGGTCCACTACGGTCGGCCTTCTCGGCCAGGCCATCAGATCAACCGGTGGCCAGGGTCCGCGTGGACCTGGGCTCGATGTCCCGGCGGCTGGCGGGACTTGCGTCGGGCTCGGGCGCGCCCAGCACCGATGCCGGCGCCTTCCACTATGACAGCGTCTACACGCATGGTGCTGGGGCGGCCGGAGCCACGCGCGCACCTGTCGCTGCGTCGACCCATGTCGACCCCCAGGCCGGGGAAGTCCGTCTCGATGCCGGGGCCACCGGCGTCACCAGCCGCCGCGAGCGGACCCTCCGGCAGGCGGATTTCCGCCGGATGCGCGTCCTTGGCCAGTTCAACAATGGCTTCATCATTGCGTTTCTGCCACGGGCCGAGGCCGAGGTGGGAGGGGCCGAAGGCCAGCCGAATAGGCCCTCAGCAAATGGGGCCTCCAAGCTCCAGGCCTTCGGCGACCTGTTCATCATTGACCAGCATGCGGCCGATGAGAAGTTCAACTACGAGCGCATCCGCCGCGAGACGCGCCTCACGCCGCAGCCGCTGGTTGTGTGCGTGGCTCTCCTCCTGCCGAGGGCATCCCTTTTCTCGGTTTCCCTGCCGAAGTTTCCCCCCTCGTCCACCCCCGTTATCCGCACCCTGACCCAGCCTCTCTCTCCCTCCCTCTGTCCGTCTATCCGTCTGTCTGTCTGTCTGTCTGTCTGTCTGTGTGTCTGTCTGTGTGTCTGTCTGTGTGTCTGTCTGTCTGTCTGTCTGTCTGCCTGTCTGCCTGTGTGTCCGTCTGTGTGTCCGTCTGTGCGTCTACCTCTCCCTCTCCCATCCCTCTCCCATCCCTCTCCCTCCCTCTCCCTCCCTCCCTCTGTCGCGTCCACCCAATAGCCCACGCCCCCTCGAGCATTTGGACGCCATTGAACGGCAGCTCTGTTACCAGCACGCTTCGACAGTCTTCCGACGCAATGGGTTCACCTTTTCCTTCCAGCTGGCCCCGGAGGGGGACGCCTCCGAGCCGGCTGATGTTGAGAGCGTCCGGCTGACCGGCCAGCCGGTCCTGGCTCGCGGGCAAGTCCTCGGTGTGGATGACCTGGATGACCTGCTCCGGCAGCTGTCCATCTTCTCGACCGGCGGGATCGCCAACATGTCGCGCAGCCATCGGGCATCGTCGCTGAGCCAAGATGCTGGCGCGGCCGCCTCAAATGGCGCAGCCACTGAGGAGGCCGCCGGGGCCGGCACGCCGGAGGACACGTCGTACCTGGCCCCCCTGCCGCTGGTCCTGGATGGCCTGGACCCGGAGGATGACATGGCGTCCGGGTTTTTCGCCGGGACCCGCGTGACAGCGGCGTCCGGGTCCAATTCGAACCCGGCCGCCCGGTGGTCCGTGCCGGACTGGCGGCCGCCTACCGGGGAGCTGGAAGAGGAGGACCCTGCCAGCGTGGATTTGGAGGCCTTGTGCAGCGGTCGCGCTCGGCGGGCCTTCGCCACGCAGGCCTGCCGGCAGAGCATCATGATCGGGCGAGCCCTCTCCAAGAAGGAGATGACCAAGGTGCGTCCTGACACCCGGGCGGTCGCGCTCCTCCGTGCCCCTCCCCCCCCCTCCGCGCCACTGTTGCCCTCTTCTAACTTGGCATCGTCTTGCGCAGGTGGTCCACAACCTGGCGGAGCTGGTGCACCCGTGGAACTGCCCGCATGGACGGCCCACTCTGCGCCACTTGCTGGTGCTGGACGATGCCTTTTTCCGCTCTGGCTAGGTCAAACACCTCTCTCTCTCTCTCTCTCTCTCTTGGCTGTCCCCCTGCCGAGGGTCTATTTTTCATGTACATATATGCATGCGTTTGTGCATTTGGCCGTGTATGGCACCCAGGTCACAATGTCCACATGCAGGGGGGGGGGGGGGGGGGGGGGGGGGGGGGGGACAGGAGCCGCCGGCCAAGCGTCGGGGCTGGCTGCCGTCGGGCTCGCGCGCCGCCTCAGCGTGGGATATGATTGTCATCCGGCAAATGGGTCGGGTTGTAGTGGAAGTATGTTCCACGGTAGTAGTTGTGCGGCATGCAGCTCAAGTGGGTGTTTCGAATATACACGGCGTTGGCCAGGGCCAGCGGGATGGCCAGGGCCAGGAAAGTGATGTTCCGCCGCCGCCAGGTGTACCGCTCGCCATAGATGGCATCGGTGATGGCCAGACTCAACGGGTAGGACCCCAAGGCAAGAATGACTGCGGAGGCCAGGTGCATGGGCACATGTGCATGTGGACATGGGCAGAGAAGCGGCGAGCGAGGCAGGCAGAGAGGGAGGGAGACCGAGGGCGCAGGCGAGGTGAGCAGCAGGCAGGGGGGGGGGGGACAGGCACAAGGCACGCACATGAAGAAATCTTGATGAAGGACCAGCAGTTGGTGGTGGTTTCACGGATGGTGGGGATGGCCAGCGGCTCGCCAGGCGGCACCGGGGCCGGGGGATATGAGGGGACCAAGCGGGCCGGGAAATCCCTCCGCGAGACGTGCAAGCCCATTTCGTTCATCCCATTTTTGATTTTGCCGACGAGGTAGTCCCACAGCTCGGCCATGGTTGAAGAGAGGGGCCCGAGAGACAGGTGACCCGGCGGATCGGAGCTGACCAGGGGGAGGGGGGGGGGGAGAAAAAAAAAGAGGGGCCTCAGCGGTTCACCGGGCGCGATGGGTGTGGCGAGCAAATCCGGCTGAGTAGGTGCGAGCGGGGATTCTGCGGTGGCGGTGGCGGTGGCGGTGGCGGTGGTGGGAGGGAAGACAGCTGGCCAGGTGGCGGGGCGCACCGGGAGGGGGGCGAGATCGTCTTGAGTCCCCTCCCCTGGAGGGATGTGTGATCCCCGCTGTGGCCGTGGGCCGGTGGCGTGCTCCCTTCTCCCTGCCTCCATCGCCGGCCTGGCTTGGGGGCGGGACGTGCCACCGCCCCGGCCCGAGGGCGGAGCTCCCCCGGCGGCAGGGGGCGGCTGTTGTGTGCCGGCTGCCCGGGCCGAGCGTGGGCAGAGCGGCGGGCGATCGCGCGCCCGGGCGCCCACGTTTGGATTTGGGCCGGACGCGCGCTCCATGGCGCATGGGTATCACGCCCGCATGACGGGTCATGTGCCCATGAGTTTGGCATTGTGGGGTTTCCGGACAATTGTGGGGGGTTTCGGCGGATGCTTTGGCCGTACCCCGGGAGGGAGACTGGCTGGCGGCCGGGGGACTCCCGGGCCTGGGCGGGGACAAGAAGATAGGGCTGCTGCTTGTCCAGGCCTCCGTGGCCCTCTGAGGCCCCCCCCTCCGGCCCAGTCCAGGGGGGCGCGGGGGTAGCACTGGTGCCCGAGGGACGGACGGCCAGAAAATCCACCAGCCTCCCCACGGCTGCCTATCGCGCCCCCTTGTCCGTCGAAAATCCCTCAAAATTCCGAAGCGAGGCAAGTGCGCACCTAAGACCTCGCTCGCCTGAATGCATGTGTGTGTCTGTGTGTGTGTCTGTGTGTGTGTATGTGTATGTGTATCTATGTCTGTGTGGGTAGGGGCGGGCGAGAGACTGACCTGAAGGCATGCCGCCCCGGGATGCCTGGCGTCGTTCCTCCTTGTTTGCTCTGCTGCCTCCTCATGCATGAATGGGTCCTTCCGCCATGACGCCCCGAGGTGGGACAGGTGCTGGGAGGCGAATTTTCCTCTGTCGCGGGAGAGCTCGAGATATTTTGGTTCGGCCATCCGTGGTGCTCTCGGCCTCCTGCCCCCCCCCCCCCCCCCCC